CAAAGGACAGGCCTGTTCTTTCTCTTTCGCTCTTGCCCCAAAAAATCGCCAAGTCTCTCTCTCTCTCTCGACAGGCTCACGTAGTATGCCATAGAGCTCATCCATCTCGCGGGAACCTGCGAAAAGAGAGGCGTTGAAGGCGAAAGGGAGCATGTTTGTGAAAGCTCTTTCACGAGTGATGGAGGCTTGATGGTAGAAGTCCCTCCTGTCAGAGACGCAGCCAATGAGGCGATAGCCCCTAGGGCAGTATAGTGAAGTGAGATCAGCCGAAGGTCCTCGCGGATGATACTCTACCCCATTCATGAATCTCCTGTCACCGATTTGTCTGTCGGTGGTCTCGTTCTTGTAGGCGTTGAACACCCGGGAGAAGAAGGGCGCAGGTCGATCGCACAGGGCAAGAAGCCTCTTGGAGCTCCAGACCTTGGCAAGCCGGAGGTTCTCTTCTGGCGAAGCTCGGCCCCACCCAGCTGCATGGCAGCCCACGCTGGAGGATGAGCAGCTCGAGGAAAGGAAGCCACAAAATACTCCCGTCCAAATAATCAGCCAAGGGGCAAGAGTCGGTACCAGTCAGCTTCAAGCGGCCTGCGTCTAAGCCTCTGTATGGTAGCACTGGAGTGAACTCGGTGGCAGGAACATAGGGCTTCTCGACTTGTCCAACCGCCCTTGGTTCTGTACTCTCTGTAGAGCCCGCATAGCCCTTGGTGTCAAAAATTGAATTTCCTGAGCAAAGGAAGAGAGCTCGATCAGTCTTGCAATAAATTCGGGTCCAGACCGCCCTGTTTGCGCCAGGCTTGGGGTCCTCCTCAAAAAACCAAGAGGGACAGGGCGAAGGCCATTGTACTGGTAGTTCAAAAGACCACAATGACAATGACACGCGACAATCGCTTGCGACAAAGCCGATGCCACTGTGCCCTGCTCATGATGAGGGAGCCCTGCTCCTAAAGAGTCCAAACTCCGGCAGAGGCCGGGAAATACAACGGTGCAAGGCCCAAGGGCATCGTAAATGAGAAAAAACGTCCTGGCTAGGAACGCTGAAAACCTCGTCCGCGTCTTCAGCACAAGCCGAGGCAGCATGGGACATAGCTGATGGAACGAAGTGCTCTGCTCCAAACTATCCTCAACAAAAAACATAGACCTCAGTCCTGAGCTTCCTCCTCCGTCTACCTCTTCCCCCTTCCAACGCCTGTCTTCTTCTTTTTTGGTCCTCCGGGAGCGTCTCCTGTCGGTGGGTCGGTCTTGTGATCCTTGGTGACCTCGGTTCACCTTGTCTGAATCACATCGAGCTCTTTGAGATACTGTAGTGTGCCACAGTCCCCCAAACGCTCATCCGCGGTGGCTGCAAACGCTCGGTTCCTCGCTGAGGAGGCAAAGGCTCTGTTGATCTTGCCCCCGTCCATCACTAGCTGCTCCAGGAAGACAAATAGGAGAGCCAGGGCATCCTGAGCTGCAGCCATATTCTCTCCCTGTAGGTGATCTATCACCAGAGCAACTTGCCAAATGATGTGGCCCTACTCCTTGAATTTTCCGTAGCCCCGAATCTCTCCAGACAGCGAGAGGCATAGACGCCTTTGTCCAGCAGCTGCGCTGGGGCTAGGTCTGCTGAACTGCCGTGAAGAAAGTCCCCTTGTGAGATGCTAACTGCTAACTCCTGAAGAAGCTTCGCTGGACCCAAAGCACCTTTGGAGCTGACTGTGGATGATGAAGCCCCCATCTCTACTAAAGGATCTCCGGATCCCGAAGCAATCTGTGAGACCAGCTGAGTGAGTGCCCTGCTCTGCTCGAGGACTGCCTTCGCTAAGGCGCTCTCTTGCTCGTCTGCAAGGAGATCTTTCACTGCCTCCTCCGTCTCCGCAGAGTTCATCTCTGCTGAGAGGGGTTGTTGCGGTTTCTTCCCAGACAAACTTTGCGGGGGTGGCATCTCCTTGACAAAAGAGCTCATGCAAGGGTGGCGGAGGCGACGATTCGGCGAAGGGCCTTCTCAAGGCAGATGGTCTTCCTGACTGCATGGAGGCCTCCATTGCGGATGTCCAATCCGCGAGGAGCTGCAGCTGTTCCGTCAGCTGTGATAGAGCCAGGTTTATACTTGTCACAGCCTCTGCCAATGATGCCACCGTAGGTCTCGACTTTCTCTTTTCTGGATCTCCTTCTCTTGGCAAAGTAACGTTCTTTCGCCTCAGAGGGGGGTCTTCTTTTGGAGTCTCTGGGGCAAGCTCCTCCTCTCCGGCTGAATAGAAGATAATCCTTTTCGGCGGGTTTTGAGAAAGAGTCCATCCATGAGCTGCTGTCACCAGGTCGTCTGCCCTTGGCCCACGGGCCTGCCAGGAAAGCTCGCTGGATCCGCTCAGGTCCAGTGTAGGTTGCCATACCAGACAACCTGCCAGCCAGAGCCAGAACAGTAGGAGGAGAATTGGGGAAGCTAGGTTCGATGCTGGCCCTCGTTTCCCGGCCTCGGTATCCCGAGGAGGTAGTGGATGATGAAGGCCTGACAACCTCAAAAGTATCCACCGAAGCTGTTCCACCAGAAGAAGTAGTAGAAGGAGCCGGAGATGATGCCAATCCAGCCACGAACCTGGCTGCTGAAAAGGATGGTCCTCGAACGGAGATCTGGAGCCCTTGAAATTCCAAAGCCAACTCAACGGCCTCGTCGGGTTCCCCCATGCACGTATGCCTGAAGTCGTGAAGGCACTGTGGCCTGAGCCACAGCCCGAGGAGAGATCTCGGGGATGGGCGGTGGAAGCCAGAGTCCAAGATAGCAAAAGGCCAGGATGGTCAAGAGGCAGCCAGAGACCAGGCCGTGACAAAGCAAGCTCAGGAGGAGTGGCAAGCTCGAAGGGCCGCAATGAGAGGGGCACCCTAATCCCCACCAGTTCGACTGGGCTCCCCAAACAACAAAGTTCAGGGTCTTCAGAACCTGGTCCATGTATGCTTGAGCATGGCGGAAACATAATATGCAATCGTTCCTAGGGTGCAAGAATTGTTAGGAACACGCAGCGATTCTTCGAGGAAGCTTCTGTCTGGGAGAGGAAGAAGCTTCCTTGAAGAGCCCTCGCTTGTGTCGCCTCCCACCACTGAACACCAGAACTTTTCAACCGGCTTCGCCACGCCATCCCCCAACTTCGGGCCCACCCCAAACCAAAAAGACTTCAGGCTCTGAAAGTTGCTTGCTGAACTTAGCTTCTGGGATCTCCTGGCCAAGCAACATCTTGTCGACCGCACCTTCTGGTTTCGGCCTTGCGCTCTTGAAAACGGAATGCAACATTGCATGCAACAAATATGCCACAACAAAGAGGAATCCAATGTCTAGGCATCATACCTCGAGGGTGCATAGATTGACAAAGGTGCTGCAGCAGGTAATTCACCTGAGAGATGGCAACTTGGAAGGTGGGTGATGAACACCAAACCGGTCTCATGTGAGCAATCTAGGGAGATAGAGTAGTTGTAGAAGTTGTAGAAGTTTTTGGCAAACATCTCAAGTTTTGATTTCGTCAAAGCACACATTATTTTCATTGACTTTCAAGTTGTCCAATTACTTACTTGGCACCACAAATGTTTGGTGCTTTTCAGTTGAATCATCGTCAAAGTAGCTAACAGGCCAAGCCACAAATGAACGTTTCTGGCAAGAAGAAACTTTCGTTGCAATACAAGGTTGCATATGATCCCACACCTTCCACTCTCGGCACATAGCCACTTGCACATTGTGGAGTGCAATCCTCTCGGCAATTGTGCATAGCAATGACGTCGCTAACTTCAAGGTAGTAACAAAATTATTACATAATATATACAATAGTTCACCAGATCCATGCGAATCCAACTGCTCTGTGCCGCGCAACACTTAGGGTTCCAAATGCTGAAAACGCAAACCAAGCATCACTTCCGTTCAGAACTTTACCTCAGGATCCACAAATACAGCACAGAGCTTGATGCTGTTGATGCGGTGTTGGGTGGTGGGCGGCAGTCAAGAGCAACATAGAGCAACTGCATGCAAAAGAAAACATACTATTTGGTGCAACTGACCATCAGCGTTGCTCTCTGCGCACGCAAATCTACCTCAATCCCACTGGGCCAGGTGACCATGCAAGCTGTCACAAGAGTTTCAAACCAAGAAAGACTTTCTGACTTTCTTTTCGAGGGGGGGCTGTGGAGAGGTAGGTGAGGTAGGCTTCAAGGACCCCTCGCATGATTTGGTGCCTAGACCTTTGGGCCACGGCCCTGCTTCCTCACTTAATTAAGTAGGCACCTACTTTATTGAAGTAAGGGAGCAAGCTCCTAGCTACTTAAGCTTCTAGTAACTGGACGCAGGATAGCTCACGCTTCTTCAAGGAAGCTGCCCCCGCCGCTCTAGAGGCGGCGGGGTAGCTTCCTTGAAGAAGCGCCCGCACTAATGACTTGGTTCCTAGACTTTCAGGGATAAAACAAATAACAAACTATATATATAATAAACCCAGATAGCTGTTCTTCTTTCTTGCCTTTCCTTGAACCAAGTCCAGCCAAGCTCTTTCCATCGTCCAGTCTCAACTGTCAAAACAACAAGTAACCGCAAATTGGACTTGATGCTGCAAACCAAGTACAGTAAGGCTTTTTGTGTCAAGGATTCCTCCAGCTCCCATCATCGCATCATTAGGCTCCTTTCCCTTCCATTTCTGATGTGTCATTCTAGGCCAGTAAGAAAGTTCTGTTTGCCTATACATTGACGACTCTAACATCAATGGTCTAAGAAGCTACAGTAAGTTAATAGGAAAACAATTAAAATTACAATGGACAACATATTGAATTTTCCAAATTCAAGCCCATTCATACAACTCGGAACTCCTCAACCTGACCTGACTTTCGCTGCGGTGCTAAACTGCCTTCCTCTTACAGTACATGATAAAACCATTTGCAACGCTCCTGCTCTACCTTCACGTACACTACAAATGCGACACCAAAAGTTCAAAGAACTGACAGACTTCAAGACTTCCACATTAGGGCCAGGGTTTGCCGTCTATCCAAGGACACCACTATCAGACCATTGTCTCCATTGCGCCGGCTGATGCCAAAGGGCCATCATCAACTGCGGAGTTGGCAACCACAGGCTCTTCGCATGGCAACACATCGCAAATATACTGAGGCGCGGGAGATGCCCCAAACTCTTCTCTTCACAAAGGTGGCGCACATCTACCGTTCACTATTATCTTATTTATATATAAGTTACAGAACTCTCCAACCGAGCTTCAAACGAAAACCTGACCAAAAATCTAATATGCTTGCTGACCAACAACGGAAAACTTTAGAACTCTAGACTTCAAAGTGTGCCAAGACACATCTGTGGGGTCCAAAAATGAGTCGAAGTCAGTGTCGGATTCTGTCGTGCATGTGTGAGTTGAATGTCGCGCTTCAAATCCGGCTTTGCATGATGACCTCGATGAGAAGCAAAACGTACTTACAGCATTCCTTGCTTTGACAACTGGTCTTCATGTTGCCGCGTGCAAGAAAACACAGTTTGGATCATGCTGAGATTGTAGCGTGCATGTCTCTCCATGCGCTAGGGTGCTTCCTTCCAAGCAGTATCCGGTGGAAGTGTTCTTATTTGTCACGTCCGGAACCGCGCAATTGTCTTTCACGGTGACCGTCAATGTTTCCGATGAGGACTGCCCCGCAGAGTCAGTGCAAGTGTAGATTACCTCGACTGACGCAGAAGCTTGGTGCTGCTGCAGTCCAAACAACAAATTGGTCAAGTCATTTCACAACATCCATACCACAGCAGACATTTTCTGAGAAACAAGTTGCCTGGTAGTTGTTTGGAACGGCTAGGTTGACAGCCGAACTGTCGACCACGGGCGCCTTTATTGTCCCCCCATCTTCCGAATCGGAGCATGACGCATCAGGAACGGAGATCGATGAAGCTCCCACAAGGAAAGTCGTCTCACCATCTTCAATCGAAACCGTTGGCACTGTGTCAACACGCCGGCAATATGCCACTTGGCGGTCTGTTGCGTTGGCAAGCATGTAGTACCGTCCTGCAACTCAATCCCAGGCCCAGCGGGCAGCAATAAGGTAGATAGGCACATCTGAAAAAACACAGGAAAATCAAGGGATATGAAAGGATCATATATACTGAACCGTATTATCATCTATAAGGTCTGGCTGATCAGCTTTGGGACGGACCACCTGTACGGTCTCTCCTGTGCACAACGTCAAGAACTGACACGTCTTGTTGTCAAAGTATTGATATGCCACACATTCGGAAGAGCTCGCGGCAAGGCAGCTAGTTTCGCAAACCTCGTAGGTCCCCACATCTTCAAGCCTTCACCAACCCAAGCACGCGAAAGCAAAACACAACATTTGGCAATGAGGATGAGAAATCAAGCAACGGGACCCTCTGCTTGGCCGCTTGGAAGTCAGTGCGCCAAGTGCTGTTAGATGAATTCAAACTGTAACTGTAAAAGTATGTCTATAACAGCCCCATTCTTGCAGCCTCAAGCTGCTGAAAATGCAAATGAACTCAAAAGAAATACACAGTAATGGAGGGATGCAGTTAAGCCGCGTCTTGTTCACCGTGCTGCATTGAACCCGATTACCGCCGTAGGTTCCACCCGGATTTGGCTCTTCGCATCCCACTTCCACTGTTCGGGTGACTGACGCGTGTGAACCCATAGAATCATAGCCTCATTCTCAGGACATGCGTGACAATTGATACAAAAGTTGAAAACACGCACACACACTTTGACATTGGGTTTTCAATTCCGATCACTTGAAGGTGTTTGAAAAACGTGTTTTTCGTGATGCATGACTGCAGACAATTAGTTACTGATTACTTAGCAGACCGAATTAACGCCGTGCATGGAAACCTGGTTTGGGGGACGTATCATGAAAACATATCAAAACCACCATGAAAGCAAAAAAGAGAGTAGAACAGCTTGGACAACAGTTGATCGCAGGTACGTTTGCACCCAGATGGGGGGTGTCTTCGTTGGCCGGAGACCCCCCACCTGGCTCCGGCCCCCTGCGTGTAAAAACTCTTGGAAACAGAGTGTGACACATACACTCAGCCGCTTTGCGGCGCTCTGGCGCAAAAACCTAAATAGGCACCTAAAAAGCCTTAGAAAAGAAAGAAAGAAGAACAGAAAGAGCAGCGCTAAAAGGGCAGGAGAGAAAGATAGGTGTAGCAAAAGGTGAATACTTAGCCCTTGACTGGGGCAGGGAAACGAGCCTCAAGAACCACCTCAACAGTTTGAAAGAAAGCCCAAGAAACGACGAAAAGCGCAAGAAAGAAAGCGGGGGGCAGGGAGGGGGTGTATGTCCATGTGTGTACATGTGTGTGTGTCTGAATACTTAGCACTCTAGAGTTACCGATTACTTAGCAGAAACTAATTACAGTAGGTGCAATAGTTAGGGAGCGGGACTTTAGTCTTAAACCGCCGGGTAGAGTAGACTAGAACAGGGACAACAGAGGGAAAGGCACCGACACACAAGTGTGTCGAGTACCATTTCCCTCTGTTACCCTAATTAGGTGGGGAGTAGAGAACTCGGCGGTGGGGGGGTTGTGTGGGGTCATTCTCCGTATGCCCGGCGGCTTTGACATTCCGTATACCCGGCGGTCGTAAAAACCGTGGTGCCCGGCGGCTTGGATTTTGGGAATGCAGTGGTGAAACAAAGTCGGTTAAGATAATCCAACGTGTGCGGAAAGCAGCAAAATCCGTTAGTGATACTCCGGCATGAAAACAGCGCCCCAGTGACGGGGATCAAACCCTGCACCCAAGTGGGACGGCAGAGCGGCACACACTGTGACATTGGGATTTCAGTTAACTCAATTCTTCGAGAAAAGGAATGGCTCAACGGCAGGGTGAAGCATCTGATCACTTGAAGGTGTTTGAAAAACGTGTTTTTCGTGATGCATGACTGCAGACAATTAGTTACTGATTACTTAGCAGACCGAATTAACGCCGTGCATGGAAACCTGGTTTGGGGGACGTATCATGAAAACATATCAAAACCACCATGAAAGCAAAAAAGAGAGTAGAACAGCTTGGACAACAGTTGATCGCAGGTACGTTTGCACCCAGGTGGGGGGTGTCTTCGTTGGCCGGAGACCCCCCACCTGGCTCCGGCCCCCTGCGTGTAAAGACTCTTGGAAACAGAGTGTGACACACACACACACACTCACACACACACACGCATATATATATATAACACACATATATAATATATTGTTTGTACACAGAGTACTACACAGAGTATATGACATGTTGTGTTCTTGGTCTTGTTCCAAGTGGCACGTATATGTCACCTTGTAGATGGCGGCCACGTCCGATAGCACAGAGGTAACTACCTCCATCCTTGAAAGTGTGCCGCTGCCAGTGCTGTTGGAAAGAGCGTTTTGTTGGCAAACGCGATTTCCATCAAAGGAAGTGCCTCAGCTTGTGCTGTCCCGCAGTCTGGTCCGGCACTGTATGATTATCAAGGAACGGACAAGTATAAGTATAAATCAGCAAAGTCACAGTCGGTTTTGCAGCAGTAGTCACCTAAACTCAGACTTTCACTGAGCTAGAGTCAGCTAGAGGTCGACCAGCCCATTGTTTCATGTGCTCAGCATATCCATACACAATAGAAAGATTTGTAGATAGAACGTTAGATAGAACATAGACGTATATAATCGTATATATATAGTTACAATATTACAGTATATGAACGTCATGTGCCATTTGCCAGTTCAATGTCTTCACAGTAACTGTTTGTGAGAGACTGGATGTTGAGGCACCTCCACAGGTCTGTGCTACACACATGCGAGGGAGATCGGGTGGACAGCGTGCAAGGCCACCACTCAAGCTGCAACAGCCTTCAGTGTCACACTCGCTTCCATCACCGCAGCCATACCTTAAGGAGTGCCAACCCCAAATGCATAAGACATTGACACAAGCCTACCCATGCTCGGTTGACAAATGCTTTGCCAAGTTTCTTGCCATCCTCACTGGAGGGTCCAAAAAGCCATGAGCACGAATCCGCTGGATCAACACCGAAAGTAAGACTCGTACATGCCTCTCCAGATGTGACTGTCCATTGGCTGCTTTCTAAGGGTGGGAAGCTCTCGCCTCCCATTGCCCAAGCTTGTTCGCTCCCACTTGCATTTCGAAGGATCCATCGCTCAGAATCTGGAGTCCCTTGGATGTAACCAGCAACAAGCTCAGTCTGCAAAGTGGGACCTGTACCGAGGTCAGTTCTCAACTCGCCACTGGAACCAGCTTGCTGAGTGGAGTACAGCACACCTAGGCCTGCCTCATCCTGGCCAGCCAATTCAAAGCTGCTGGAATCCACCCCCGAGCATCCAGAGGGACTGCCGGTGATGTTGATGCGGGATGCAGCAGCTGGCCCAACTGTGCCAGAGATGCTTATCTCGCACACCTTCATCGATGTGCTCGACCCACCAAGGGTGACAAAGCGACCTGCTAGGGGTGCATCGCATTCTATGGTGCTCACACTTCCCAAAGATGATTCGGTGACACTTGCCTTGCACTCGGGACCTTTGTTAGCCTGCGGTCCAACCTTCAAGCTTGCCCCCGTCACAGACGCCGTTAAGGAAATGGAGTGCACCACCTTGCCGGAACCCAAGTCCAACCATATGTAACTAGAAGAGTCAACTTCTACGCATGATTCGCATGCTAGCTCTTCAGAGCTGGCCACATCTCCATCAAAAATGTTTTCCACTACACCATCCAGCACTGTACCACTGTACCCCACGCGGAGGATACTTAGTTGCTGGGCTGAGCCTAGCCCATTGGCGCCCCAAGCTGTGATGAGCCCATCCTCCACATCAGTGCAAACTGCACCATCGTCTGAATATGTTACATCCAGTAGTGCCAAGGTCTCCGAAGAACCTGTGAGGAAAACCTTCGGGACATTGTTCACCGTGATCTTTCTCACAGCGCTTTCTGACTCACCGAGGCTGGAGCAACTGTAGAAAAGACTCTGCGTCCCTGTTCTTGAAGAGTCCGCTTCGTTCAGTACTTCCCGGAACGGCAGCACTTGATTGTGGTCATCTTTGCAGCAAACTCCAGGATCGTTGAACTCTTCTCCTTGGATACTGCATACTCAAGTCAAGCTGATCTACAATCCTACGCATCATATGCATGTCTAGTCCAACTACAGTAATTCTGTGCAATTTGCCTCCATGCCTACCTGCACCTATTACTGTGGCATATGCGCCTGGCAAGGGGCTCAAGCACATCCCAAGGCTTAGCACAGTGCTGCCGATGCAATGCATATGCAAAGCAGAGTCGGTCGCTTGTCTTCCATATCACACAGCTGCAATTGCAATAGGTTTCGGCTGTGAAGGGATGAGTGCGTCAACATGAAGGTGGCTGGAAATCTGCCCCAAAAGACCACATGACACATTTCCCAAGAGAGAATGATGGGAATTGAGAACTTCACACAGAATCGGAACATAGTCCGACATTATAAAGGCGAGGCTCCAAGGAGAAGAGTCATGGACGCTGGTCCGCGCAAAACAGGTGCCGGCAGGTTGCTGGTGACATAGACAAGCCTGCCCCGGGCAAACCGGAACCGATGCCTTCTTCATATCTTCTGGGAAGGGTCTGTTTTGTCTCTAGGCGGTTTTCAGGTGGCACTAACATACTGACGTTGCACCTGTTTGTGGTCTCCTAGCACATTTAGAAAGTGAAGAGATGAAGGCGGTTGAATGAAGCACACCGAGGCAGCCCAGTCGTGACCCGTCCTGCTTGTTGTCCAAACTGTACCATTGCTGTCAGTGCAGGAGTAGGTCACTGTAGTTTCTGCTGCTGTGGACATATTGAGGTCCGGGCTGGCAGTGTAGATAATGAGCCCACCATTTGTATCGACACATTGTGCACCAGGATCATTCCAAGTGGAATCTTTCTCCAGCACAACAACAGCATCGCCACGGAGCTCTATGGCAGGTGAAACTTGGACATATCTCACCATAGTCGAAGTTCTACCTTTGCTATCCACGCACGAGTAGGTGATGCTAAATTCACCAACCTCATCCAGTTGCAGCGAAGCTGGAGAGCTGGACACTGACAGCGGCTTCAGGTCCCGGTCAATGCAGGAAACTCCTGGTTCACTGAAACTTCCATCTGATTGTCGAAGAATCATGTTTGTCAGGCCTTCCAGCTTGATTGGATGGCGAACCTCAACAATCATCGACCTGGTGGTTTCCACGCTGTCTTTAGAGCATGCGTATTGCACTGTGAAAAGCCCTTCGGAGGCGGTAGACACACTGGAACTGCTGAGGTTTACACTTCCACTCCATGTGCCTGCGAGCTCATATTCATGATAGCAAGCTTCGGCAGGCCAAGAAGTATATTCTCCTGGTGCATCAAATTCACCCTCTTTGATAACTACCCTCCGCAAGGCCTGTTGCATCATGCACTTGAACGCAAGACCTCTCACACCAATCACAGCATCACCATTGGCTTTGATCTCCAGGTTGCTCCCGTGCGTGAAGTCAATGGCCACTGTCTTTGGTGATTCGGAATTCGTTGCAGTTGCTTCACTGACCGCATTCAGAAAAACCTCCACGGTGTCGCTGGATGAAGTGTTGTCATTGCCAAAAGTCAGGTCTAAAGTTCCGTAGCCAGACAATGTCAGAGCAATGCCAGCAGATGGTGAACCTCGGTATCCAATATACCCATCTGCTAGCCACACATTTGCATCGCTTGTATTTATTGTCCAACCTGCGGCTGCCATTGCCTCTGCTGAGGCGAAGTTGTTGAGCTGCAAGTTGCCACCACACAAGACTGACCTTGGAACGTAATTGATAACAAAGCACATGAGTCGGTTGCAAGACCGTTCTTAATCTGACAAATCATCCTTTCGCACCTAACAGCCGACCCTTATCCTGGAATCCTAGTGCCTGCAATCTGGATTGTGCTATAAGCAGTGCGCCCCGCAGCAGCAAGCACTCGGGCATGCCGCCAGGTCAAAAAATGAGTTGGAAGCTCTAGCCACATTGAAAAGAATATATATATATAACTAAAATACCTTGAAAGAAAACATAAACAGTAAAAGTGGATTGGTTTGCTCTAAGGATCGCCTCTGGAATCAAGCACGACACGTCATCATGATCTCGACAAATCCTTCCCGCATTCAGTAGCGTGTCCAGACAACAAATGTTGTTTGCTTCATCAGAACCGCAGTCTTCACCACCGCAAGTTTCACATGATGCATCGCAGCAGTACAATGTGCCAGTGACATCCTCTGGACGGCTTCCGTTGCGGCACCAAAGATCTTCCCCACATCGAGCCACAAAGGAAGTCCCAACGATTTCCACGATGCCAGAGGCCAGCGAAGAACTCGAGAATTCGAGGTCACCATCCACGTACCCCTTTTTCACTGTGAAGAATTCCTCGTCTTCGCCTTTTAGATCCGTGATGCTGCTGTTGTCAAACTCAATGCGTGCTAGCAACACATCAGTGGGCAAGGGCACAAACTGCGTCCACGTTGCACCTTCAAGGTATTGCCACTCTATCCCTGTGAAGCGTACACACGCAAAGTTCTCTGCAAAGCCAGTTGCTTGAGAGGACCACCGACTTTCCCGAGTTTCCTTGGTAAACATCAGGAATCCCAAGCGAGCTTCAGAGTCTGATGTTCCACTATGTTCACATTCCGCACCGCTTCCCAGTGTACCAACCGAGCGTGTGCACGTGCCGGGCACCACCGACGAGGCATAGTCCTTAAGAAGCAAAGAACAGTGAGGGCATTACACAAGTGCAAAGAAAGTCGGAGGGTGTGTGACTCATTCGGCTCAGCCGCATAAATGTAAAAGTTGCCGCTCTTGCCCGTGGATGAAGTTGTACACTTATCTACGGCAATGCTGCTGTACTGATCGCTTGAAGCTGACGTTGGGCCAGACGTAGCTGGAAATCCAATGCCAGAGCCACCAAAGGCGTAAGAGGTCCAAGCATTGCTGTCATCAAGCGCGTCTGTCAAAGTTGGGTAGATCTTGAAATCAGCGCCTTCCCAACCCCAGAATGTTTGCAGGATTTTGAAACTTCCAAACTATGTTTGCAGACTTTGAATAGTATACAGATTCAATTTTGATTCAATCAAATGTGTGACTACAGTCCGTATATCCACTTTGGCCCTTCTAATATGCACTACTATCATCTACTATCCAGTGCAAGTCGGTCGGTAGCAAGCAACATGGCCAGCGGCCAGCACACAACCTTCTGAACCCAAGAGCCCACCTTCGACATTATCCACCGATGTCCATTCGCACGCCATCATTGTGTAGGCAGAGAAACTCATCGGCATGTCGGTCAACCTGCCACAGCGCTGCCAACATGAACAACATGAACAACTGCAAACAAAAAACACAACATCACTCAACCAAAATCAAATAGACGGGGTCCACCTGCAACAAAACACTGGCCTTCTGTAGTAAATGTCCTGAAAAGCTCCGTCGCAATCTGGGCACGTCCGCCGGATGATTTTAAATTGACTTGCGCGAAAGCGGCTGTCAAACTCCAACTGGCCCAGTGTATGGACTGTGCCATTGGAGCTCAACCCCAAACCGAGGCGCCACTCCTGAAGCAAATGGTTCTCAATCACACAAATAGTGAATTTGCTGAATTTGATCTCTGGAAAACTAGCTGGGTGGTAAACTAGACGTCTGGCAAACTATATGCTTAACTAGGCCCCTCGTAAAAATGAGACATACGAGTTTTATGAAAAGTGTGACAATAGGCCAACTGTTTGAATCAGAAACGCAAGCAATACGGTTTGCCTTCAGGCATACGACGCAATAATGAAAAATGAGCAGCCATATGCTATATCGTAGTTGTTTCGTATCGTTTTGATTTGTGTTGCTTCGTGCTGCTTGTAAAAGATCACCAAGTGTGAACATATATGCGAAACAATTAAACACAGTAAACAGTGTTTGCCTCACTCTCTTGGGAAAAACCGCTGCAAGTGAGGTCATCTCTGTGACACATCTAATGTCTTCTTTACACATCTATGAGTGCTCTGCCGCATCTTGGCGCCCTACCTCTTCGCGGGATGTCCAACTCACGCTAAACCTTCATGCATCTCTCTCTGTGAGACATACTGCGAATTTACATCTAGGTCTAGGTTCTCAATGTCTCATGGCTCTCACTTCTCATCCTCCGCATTGTAGGTTGCCATTCTCCTGTGGCTCAGTCTGCTCTTCATGACTCTCTTCATGGTACGTGAGCCTCCTCAAAGCTCGCGGGCACAGTTCCGGGTTCCTATGCCAATGCTGCTGGTCGGTTCGCTCAGGCTCACCACTCTGATGATGTTTCACGTCATGAATGTCCACTGTTGCAACCATGGTCACGTCATCGTCCACTCCGAATGCTTCTGGTGGTGGGATTCAAATCCGCCCATCGTGGTCACTGCCATCAATCTCAATCAAACCTTCTCCTTCTCGCGCTCTTTGCCTCCTTATATGTACTCAGTTACTCTGCTCTTGCTGCTTCTGCCTCTTCTCCTCGAATCTCTATCATCTCGTCACCTGCTCTCTCCTCTCCATTGCCTGACGCTCAAGCCGCTTCTTCACAAACAAGATGCTTCGCCTGTAGCCACCCGGTGTCCGACCTGCCGAATGAACTCCGAGAGATCTCGGGACGCAAGCGTCAAGTATGTTTCAACTCCTTCTCCTCTCAGCAAAAATTGCTCTCGGTACCATTCAAAGACTTCTAAGCCACGCGATCCAACTCTTCATTGTTGCTCTCCTCTGCGCCATTTGCCAAAATGCTGCTCGATCTTAGTGAGGCGTCATTAAGTGTCATGAAGATGAAGCATCTGCCAACGTTGGTCCTCAATGCCTTGGATGCGGCTCATCCGCTCGCTGATGAGATCACCTTCGGCCTCCCACTCACGCTCAAGTAGTTCTCTTTTATCTGAGTCTGCGCCCCACTCAACTTCTTCAGGGCCACTGGCGGCCACTGTCTCTGTCTTCTCCACCATTGTCACGACGTCCACGTCCTATAGGTCTTGCGGCGGATCATTGTTCTTGATGTTCAACACGTTGAACTTCTCCGGGTTGAGGTCGGTCTCCTCCACGAAGTGGTGCATGTTGCTCACATTCATCATGTCCAGAGAATGATGTGACTCCTCCGAGGAGCCACATTTTGAAGATCTTGCCGACCTTCTTGATGTGGCCGATCACCTTCTCCGTCTGGGTTCAACTACTCCACGCGAAGCTTCATGATGTACTCGTCGGCACGGCCCTCCGTCCAGCAATGGGTTGTCAGCTTGATCACCATGAGCTAGGTTCTAGTTTTCTCACCCAGCGTGGGACAATCACCTCCACCAATTAATGCTGCTTCGCTGAAGCATCCTTGATGTCTGTGACATACAGGCATGAATCCAGCAGGAGTCAAACTGAACTGCTTCTGATCTGTGTTTCCTGCCCTGTTTGTCTGGCTATGATTCAGCGCCTGCCTCTGCGCCTCCAAATTAAAAAACGCACGGTGAGCCCAGCAAAGTGGCTCCTCAATGCTCCTCATCTGTTACTGCCTCATCTGACGCTGCAAATTGTTGTAGTTGACTGATCTCTTCCAGCGTCGCCTTCTGGTCCAACTGATTCAGCCCTGCTTCACTGACATTGGGAGGTCCGTCACGTTCAGCATGATCACCAATTGTCTTCTCGGTCAGATCCATCTCCACTTCCAACTCTGGGCGATGTCAGGGTCAAAGGCCCATGGCCCTAGAAGATCGACCTGCTCGTCCTCATACGCGTCGTCATTGTTGTCTTCTACCGCGTTGTCGTATGTTGATGTGGCCAGCCAGAATTGGTAAACGCAACTCTTGTCTCTTTGCTCTTTCAGCGCCGTCTTCACTACGCTTGTAACGCTTTGATGGTTGTCCTTCTCTGCTCTCAAGGTCAAGCGTCTTTGTCCCCTTGAGAACGCTAATGTTCATTAGATCACCTTCTGCACTTCCAGGTCCGCCATCTGTTCGCGCCTTCTTTGGGATACGTTCATCCTCTTCTGCCCTGCCTGCGGCGCTTGGCGCGTACTCATTCTCATCTTCGCTGTCAAAATTGGCTTGCGGATATTTCACCGCTTCTTTTGAACCTTCATCCATCACCTCCTGGAAAGGAAGACATTCTGGTGAAGGAAGTTCACGAAGCTTCGCCTTCATAGTCCCGTGAGCTGCTGCTTTCTTCATTGAATTTGGCAGGACCTCCAAGCCAACCAAGAGCTCCTTGTCGAACTCTTCTGCGCAAAGCCGGCCTGCTTTGCTTTCGCCCTCGCCAAGCGAGAGTCTTGACATGCAGCAATGCCTTGATCAGCCCCATCCTTTCCTAAACTGCAATAGCCATCGTCTCTCGCTTGCCCTCATCCAAAATCAAGAGCAATGACTGCGTTGCCATAGCGTCACCCGTGAAGTGCTTGAAACGGTGTCATCTTCAATGCGCTATGATAAGCTGCATATCTGTTCAATAGCCATGCGCTGCACTATGTCTGGCTGCCCGGCGGTGGATTGCATGCTCTGGGTCTTAAAGTAAGTGCAAAATGAGCGCCATTGCTTGATTGCGATTGGTCCGGGTGTATCTGCTGCAGTCTCGACTTGTGAAGGGCCTTGCCTTGTTCATGTCCAACATGGTTGCTAGGCCCAGTCGTTTGGCTAGCTCCAAGCCTGCAAGCTAAACTTTTTTGTGATCACAAACCAGCTCCACCTTCTCAACCTGGCTGGTCCACACGCCAACGAGCACCATACTCCTCCAGTTACTCATGCGCTCTATGGCCAAAAGCGTTGCCTGTCGACGCTCTTCTCGTTTGACCCCATAGCTCAGCCTGTCAAATTGTTCTCTCTCCAAGAGAGTTCTTGTTGTATGCCTCGCCTTTCATTGCCACCTTGTTGCCCTCGATCTCTTTCATGTCTGGTGTTGGGGCCCGAACCCAAAGCGTGACACTTCTCTCTGGAATCAAACTCCAGTCTCTTTGTCTTTTCTTTCTTCCATGGGTTCCATGGGTGAGTTCATGAGTGTCTCACCCATTCCACGCTGTGCCACCAGCTTGTACACGTTGAAGTGTTCCACATATAGGCCTTCGCGAAGGTCGCGTCCACAAAGTCCATGATGCAGTTGGATCGAAATCATCTGCTCTTGCGCTCCAAGACGTGGAGGATGTAGTTCCAGCCGTCATGGCCGCTCTGCTCCTTGCCGAGCTTCAGTTCATCCCCGCGACATATCCAATGTCTTCTTTGCACATGTATAAACGCTCTGCTGTATCTTGACAGAACCACACACAATCGTTTGTTTGCAGCGCTGTATTTGCTTCAGATTGTTCCCTGCCTGGCAGGCGAGGGTTGTTAGATTATATCGGGCTGTCCTCCTCTTCCTCCTTCTCCTCGAGCCTTCTCCTTCTCCGGACTCCAGGCCTAACTGCAACTGCTTGATCGTTGTGGGCAACCTTAACTGCTCTGGCATGCATTCTCGCATTGTATCGAGCAGCATACGTGCTGGCATTCTTTCAGGCATACATTCTGGCATGTTATCTGGCATATACTCAGCCATCCTATTTTGGCATAAACTCTGCCAAATGTTCTGGCATTTTGTCGAGGTCCGGCGGCGCCCACTGCGATCCAGCACTGGTGGTTGAGGTCCGGCGGCGACTGCGATCGAGCGCCTATTCAGTCGGGTGCTGGAAAATATGTGCCAGAAATAAAGCGTCAGATCGATTGCTAGAATTGTCCCAAATAAAATACCTGAATGTAAAGCCGACAGAATGTCAAAAAAAAGCCCGACAGACTCAGAATGTAAAACAGCAAAAAGATTGTCAGAATATATGCAAGATAGAGTGGCAGACATCTGCCAGAGTCTACGCCAGGTAGAATGCCGGAAACATGCTAGATAGAATGCCAGAATGTAAGCCAGGATCTTTTACCAGTTAGGACGCCAGAAATTTGCCAGGTAGAACGCCAGAATGTCTTCCAAAAATGTCCGAAAATATTCCAAATAGAATGCTAACAAAAAAAGGCCAGATAGATTGCCATGGCATGCCCGAATCAATGCCAGGAGGAGAAACTACATACTAGGCGCAACGCCAGCCAGCAGCAATGCCAGATAGAATGCGAACACATGCCAAAACATAGAACGCCAGAATGTATGCAGAGTTTATGCCGGATAGAGCCCCCAAAAATATGCGACAAACATGCAACATAAAATGTCAGTGTGTGTGCCAGAAATATGCCAAGTAGTACACGCCAAGCAGACTGCAAGAATAGACGCCAGACAGAATACCAGAGTATGCGCCGGATAGGATGCCTGACACGCCAGATGGAGTGCGAGAATATATGCTGGATAGTGCCAGAATATTTTTGCTCTATCATTGAATCATTGATTACAGAACCAGTGTCGGAATACATGCCAGAAGACATACCAGGACCGAAGCGGGACCATATGTCACAGCACATGCCAGACTTCACAGCAATGTCAGAAAACGCGCCAACAAGGACGTCAGAACACAGTCTAGAACCTTCCCCAGCCTTTATGATAGATGATGTGCCAAAACACAAATCAGACTTGATGCCAGAACAAGGTCAGAACATTGTCCATCCGCATGTCCGCCCTTGTCAGGCTAAATACACGTGCCCTGCCTTTTTCCAAATCGCCGTTCAGTTTTAGTAAGCAAGTATGAAAACAAAAAGAAAAATGTGAACACAATAAGATATGATATATAATTGCTGTTATTTGCTGTTCATGTTTCGTACTTTTGATAAGGCTTTCGTAATTTTTCATATCCCCAAAAACTTGTCGTATGTTTGTCATATTTCCCCAAACAGTTGACTGTTAGGGGTTCTCAATTCTTTCTTAAGATGTGTCCGCCCTTTGTGTCACTGCTGGTGTCCGCCCTTTCCGCTGGCCATGTACCATTTCTGTTCATTTGTCTCCCAGGTCTGTCACTGGTGGTGTCCGCCCTATTCCGCTGGCCATGCAGCGTTTCTGTTGATTTGTCTCCCAGGTCTGTCACTGCTGGTGTCCGCCCTTTTCCGCTGGCCATGCAGCATTTCTATTCTATTCATTTGTCTCACAGGTCTGTCACTGCTGGTGTCCGCCCTTTTCCGCTGGCCATGTAGCAAGTCCATTCATTTGTCTCCCAGGTCTGTCGCTGTCCGCCCTTTTCCGCTGGTGCAACATTTCTTTTCATCTGTCTCCCAGGTCTGTCACTGCTGGTGTCCGCCCTTTTCCGCTGGCCATGTAGCATGTCCATTCATTTGTCTCTCAGGTCTGTCACTGCTGGGGTCCGCCCTTTTCCGCTGGCCATGTAGCATTTCCATTCATTGGTCTCCCAGGTCCGTCGCTGCTGGAGACCGCCCTTTTCCCCCTTGGCCATGTTTTCTAAGAGTGTTTGCCTTTCTGAGAGTGTCTCCCTTTGAATCTCCTTTTTGTTTCCCTTCTTGTCCTGCTTGTCTCCCTTCTCTCCAGTCTTGTCTCCCTTCTTGTTGGTCATTGTGTCCGCCTTGTCTCCCTTC